CCAATATCCTTGACGAACACAGATGCTAAAATTCTCAACAAGATCCTAGCAAACCAGATCCAACAACACATATCAAAAATCATCCACCACGACCAAGTAGGCTTCATCCCCTGGATGTAGGACTGAGTCAACATTCATAAGACCATAAATGTAATTCAATACATCAACAAATGTAAAAACAAAAACCACATGATTATATCATTAGACTCAGAAAAAGCAGCCAGCATACTGCTAAACAGAAATTGGAACCATTTCCCCTGAAAACCATAACAAGACAAGGATGTCCACTCTTACCCCTCCTTTTCAACAGTTTTAGAAGTCCTAGCTAGAGCAATCAGACAAGAGATGCAGATCAGGGATATCCATTAAGAAAAGAGGAAGTCAAGTTATCCCTCTTTGCAGACGACATGATATTATACCTCAGAAACCCAAGACAATCTGTCAAAAACCTCCTTGCACCGATAAAGGACTTTGACAAAGTCTCAGGGTAAAAAATAAATGTGCAAAAGACAGCCACACTTCTAGACACCAATATAAACAAACAGAAGTCCAAATAAAAAGCACAATCCCATCCACAATAGTCACCAAAAAAAATCAAATACCTTGGCATCTTCCTAACCAGAGACATGAAAGACCTTTAAAATGAAAACAAAGAAATCAAAAATGAAACAAACAAATGGAAAAATATTCCATGCTCATGGATTGAAAGAATCAGCACTGTTAAAATGACCATCCTACCCAAGGCAATCTACAGATTTAACGCAATACTCATTAAATTATCAGCAGCATTCTTCTCAGACCTGGAAAGGATAATACAGGAATTCATATGTAAGCATAAATGACCACAAATTGCCAAAACAATCCTCAGCAAAAAAAACAAAGCAGGAGGTATCACACTCCCAGACTTTAAACTTTATTATAAAGCTACAATAATCAAAACAGCCTTGTATTGGTACAAGAACAGGCATATAGACCAATGGAATAGGATAGAGACTTCAGAAGCAAAACCTCAATTTCTCAACCAATTCATCCTCAACAGAGCCTCCATCACCAACCACTGGGGAGAGGAGAACCTATTCAGTAAATGATGCTGGGAAAACTGGCTGACCACATGCAGAAGATTAAAACAAGACCCCTACCTAACCCATACACAAAAAATCAACTCTAAATGGATCAAAGACCTAAATATGAAACCTCAAACTATAAAAACATTAGAAAATGCAGGAGACACCCTATGGAAACTGGAACTGGCAACCAATTCCTAATCAAAACCCCAAGTGCCCGTGCTATAAGAGAAAGATAGACAAGTAGGACCTCATCAAACTGACAAGCTTCTGCAAAGCCAAAGAAACCATCAAGAGAGCAGGGAGACAGCCCAGACTGGGAAAAAAATATTTTCCAACTGTATGTCTGACAAAGGCCTAACATCTAGGATCTATAAGGAACCCAAACATGCCAAAAAGAAGAAAACAAATAGTCCCATTACAAAGTGGGCAAAAGATATGAATAGATACTTCTCAAAAGAAGATATACAGGCAGCCAACCGACACATGAAAAAGTGCTCAGCCTCACTATTCATCAGAGAAATGTAAATCAAAACCCACTGAGATACCACCTAACCCCAGTAAGAATGGCTATCATTAATAAAACACACAACAGATGCTAGAGAGGATGCAGTGAAATGGGAACACTTCTACACTGTTGCTGGGAGTGTAAACTAGTACAGCCTCTGTGGAAAACAGTGTGGTGATTCCTAAAAGATCTAAAAATTGACCCTGCAATCCCCCTACTGGGAATATACCCGGAGGAACTCAAATCACTCTATGAAAAAGATACCTGCACAGGTATGTTTATTGCAGCATTTCTCACAATAGCAAAAACATGGAACCAACCCTGCTGCCCATCAAAAGTAGACTGAATAAAAAAAATTCAGTACATATACACAATGGAATATTGCACAGCCATAAAGGTCAAAATCATGAACTTCAGAGCAACCTGGATGGACTTAGAGGGTATAAAACTGAGTAATCCACCTCAGAAACAAAGAACTGAGTATCATATATTCTCACTCATGAGCAGACCTTGAACAATTATTGTACTACTATAAGAAAAGGATTGGCAGTAGCGGGAAACTGCGGAGTGGGGGGAGGCGGTATTGGCAGTGGGAATCTGCTGGGGGGAGCATGCCTCATCAACAACAGTACCTGCATAATGAACATTTGTATACCTACCCCTGAATTGTACACCACATCTTTAAAATAAAAAAATTAAAAGTTAAAAGCTCCATATACATACCAATCTGGAATGATCTTTAAGTTTAATGAAAAGTAAAAGTGAAGGTCAGTGTATAGAGTATGATTCTATATCCATATATGTCTGTATATATATAACATTGTACACTTAACATATATACAAAACATGCCCTAGAGGAAGCGCAAAAAACCAGTAATACTGGTTGCTACTGGAAAAGGGAAATTTATTGGCTGGGAGATTAGGTAGGAGAAAGAGAATTAGTTGAACCTTTGACCTTTGAACTCTATGCTTGTATTATCTATTCAAAAATACACTGAACTTTTTAAAAAGTAGCTTGCAAGGGATATATGGTTTTTATATATTTTAATTTAAAATAATGAGAATGATAATATTAGATTAACAAAAACAGGGGAATTAGGAACATAAATCAAAACATCTCATTTTCCTCAAAGGAAGATCAGAATCTCCTGTTAAAATAGTTTAATAAAGATTTAAGAAAATATATATTTTTTAAATTTAAGGTAAATGAAAGCAGAATTTAAAAGTCTATCATAATAGGAAAAATAATTGCTTTTTCTTCTCATTCATGCTCAACACAGAATACTTCACCAAGTATACTTACCAAAATGGGGGTGGTGGTGAGATTTCCCACACTGGCCAGTTTTGCAACACCAGCTGGGTGTTCTACAATTTAACTCAATTCTGACAATATACACCTAGAGTTGGCATCAGATCCATGGGTTAAGGACTCAGTCCCACAAGACTGCCCCACTTCAGATACCAGTCAAAAGCCCCAGACTGTGACCTGTGCTTCTGACTGACCAGTTATATACTAGGGGGGAGCATGATGCTATCCCTGAGCAACTCAAAGAACTCAAAGAAACACATTTACTGGTTTATTAATAAAGAATATAATAAAGGACACAGATGAAGAGATACTCAGGGTGTGATCTATGGGTAGGGATGCAAAGCTTTCATGCTTTCTCAGGGGCACAAAACCTTCCCAAGCTCCTCCTGGTTCAGCAACCCAAAAACTTTCCAAACCCAATAGTTCAGGAACTTTGATGAAGGCTTCATCACCCAGTCAGTGAGATTATTAACTCAGTCTCTAACTCCTCTCCCCTTCCTAGAGGAAAAGGGTTGGAGCAGAAAGTTCCAAGCCTCTAATCATGGCTTATTCTTTCTGGTGACCAGCCCCTATCCAGGAGCCCACTAAGAGTCACCACATTAGAATAAAAGACAGTTTTCTCACCTAAGAAGTTCCAAGTGATCAGGAGCTCTATGTTAGCAATAAGGGTCAATGGTCAAATAGTAGAACAAAAGACAAACCTAGTAGCCCTATCACTCAGGAAATTACAAGAGTTTAGGAGCTCTGTGCTAAGAACCATGGGCAAAGACCTATATATATATTTCTTATTATTTCCCACACACATACTAATAATGCTCATATACAAACATGTATATTATAATTTAAAGAAAAAATTAGATGATAAACCACATACAGTGTTAGCTATGGTGTGGCAAACATTCACTGTCACATACTGTTGGAGGTACTATACATAAATTGGTACTACATTTTGAGACATTACTTTTAATCAAAAATTACACTCTAAACATTCAAAAGTCATAAATTTCACTCTTAAGAAACTTTCCAGCTGGGCTTGGTGGCTCAGCGCTTTGGGAGGCTGTAATCCGGGAGGCTGAGGTGTGGATTGCCTGAGCCTGAGGGTTTGAGACCCGCCTAGGCAACTTGCGAGACCTCATCTCTACAATAAATCAAAAAATTAGGCAGGTGTGGTAGTGCACGCCTGTAGTTCCAGCTACTTGGAAGGCTGAGGCGGAAGGATCGCCGGAGCCCAGCAGGTTGAGGCTGCAGTGGCCACTCCAGTCTGGGTGACAGAGTGAGACTCCAACTCAAAAAAAAAAAAAAAAAAGAAAAGAAACTTTACAAAAGCCTACCAATATTCCCCTAGAATGTGCATCTTCACTACAACACTGTTAATAACACAACATTAAAGCCAATCTAAACATCCACAAATGGAGAAAGATTTAAGATTTAATAAATGAACAGTGGAACACCATGAAAAGAGATTTAAATGTAATGGCCTACAAAGATGACCATGATGATGAAAAAAAATGGAATAATAAAACTTTGAGAATTCAAATATATAAATATAAATATGATATAAAAGGATTTGCACCACTGTTTAAAGTGGTTATACTGGACAATGAGCCTGGAAGAGCTGAGAGTTGAATTTTCAACTTTTACTTTACATATATAAATATTTTAAAGTAGTGAGGATATGGATAATTTTTTCTCTTGGATTTTCTATGTTTCAAATTTTTAAAAATTAAATAATTTGGTATCTTTAATAATTAGCTTTTACATAAGATTTCTATATGTCTAGTCTTAGATGAGACCAGTCTGTAGGAGGGTGTAAGGTGTGTATGTGTATATCTTTGACTTTTTTGAATATCAAAGTTATATTTTGAAAAGATGAATTGATATTGTTCTATCTTCTGTGATATGAAAGTTTGAACAAAGTAGGAATCATTTGATCTTCACAAGGCCTCATAGAACTTAGTTGTAAAGTCATCTGCATGTTCTGTCTTTTGCAGGGGTAGTTCTTGGACCACTTTTCTACTTCCTCCACAGGCTGTTATTCTAATATTCAGACTCTCTTCTGTCAATAAGTTCAGCTTTCATATCTGTATTAACTCATCTTTCATAGAAAAGTTTTACTTACTCGACTGTTCATGTCTTCAATTTGCTTTGCTCGCTGAATTCTCCTCATTTCTAGGACCTGCTCTCTTTTCTTTTGCAGCCATGCTTTAAATACCATGTCATTCTCTCTCCTTTTTTCTTTCTCTTCTTCTATTTTCCGTTGCTCTTCCTAGTGAAAGAATATGAAAAGACATTAATGAAAGACTAATAAAATTATATGTGAATTATCAGAGTAAAGAGATGTATTTTGAGATCTGAAATTAGGATTCTCTGACCCTAAAACTTTCCATCTGTAAACTGGGGCTTTCTTTAAAAAAAAAAAAAAAATACATATATATATAACCTCTAAATATATATATATATATGACCTCTAATGTGCTTTGAGGAGAAAAAAAGAGGATTTTTTTTCAGAGAAACTATAGGAATAAAGTTCACAACTACATAGATGTACAACTCATACATGGTTTCAAGAACACCTTGAATCTCTCCTCTTCTTCCTAGTTTACTTCTGGTATTAAGTCATCAAACTGCAGCTATGCAAAAGAAAAAAAAAAACACAATCCAGAAGCAATAAAAATGTCCTAAAGATTTTTACATTATTTTATGATTTATTTTGATAAATGGTATTGTGATTATGAAAGAAAATACCATAATCGTGTACAGATGTATACTAAAATATGCAAGTGAGGCATATGTAAGTGAGGTCTAGGTCTTGCTTTAAAAATATTTCATCCAGCCGGGCTCGGTGGCTCAGCCTGTAGTCCCACGCCTTGGCAGGCTGAGGTGAGTGGATTGCCTGAGCCTGCGGGTTCGAGACCCGCCTGGGCAACTTGGTGAGACCTCATCTCTACAACAAATCAAAAAATTAGCCGGGCGTGGTAGCGCACACCTGTAGTTCCAGCTACTTGGAAGGCTGAGGTGGAAGGATTGCCGGAGCCCAGCAGGTCGAGGCTGCGGTGGCCGGGAGCAGCCACTGCACTCCGTCTGGGTGACAGAGTGAGACTCCAGCTCAAAAAAAAAAAAAATTTCATCCAAGACCAGACATAGTACCTCATGTCTATAAGCCCAGCACTTCAAAAAACTAAGACAGGAGGACTGCTTAGGACCAGGAGTTCAATAACCCTCTCTAGCTGCCTTTGGATTTCTTCCTTTCGTGCTCACCTTGGCAAGTCTAATTATTATGTGCCTGGGGGTTGGTCTTCTCATGTAATAACTCATAGTAGTTCTCAAAACCTCTTCTGTCTGCATGGCTGCCTTTCTAGCAAGATTGGGAAAGTTTTCTTGGATGACATCTTGGAAAGTTTGTTCCAATGTGTTCTCAATTTCCCCTTCTCTCTCTGTGATGCCAATTAACCATAGATTTGGTATCCTACATAATTTTAAACCTCTCATAGGCTTTGCTCATTTTTCCTAATTCTTTTCTTCTTATTTTTGTCAGACCAGGTTAGTTCAATAATTCAATCCTTAAGCTCTAAGATTCTGTCTTCTGCCTGGTCAATTGTGCTGATAAAGCTTACTATTGTGTTTTGAAATTTCAGTACAGAATTCTTCATTTCTAGAAGTTCAATTTGGTTCTTTCTTAGAACAGCCATGTCAGTTATCACTTCCTGCTCTGTTTTCATGGTCTGGCTGATTTGAGCATCCACATTCTCATGGGTCTTTTTTAGTCTCTTTGCCATCAATAGTCTGAATTATATGTCTGTCATCAGGGACAGGTCATTCTGGATGGTTCCAGTGCTTAGGATCTGGTAAGCCCCTTTTGGGTGTTGACTCGTTATGGCTTTAGGGAATCCCAGTTTTCCTTACATTTTCACAATATAGTAAGCCCTTCTAATTCCTTGTGATTGAAAAAAAGGGACGAAGGAAAGGAAAAATTCTGCCAAACAGCAGAAACTTTGAAAATATTTATATACTATTTTCTGAGCCCTAAAATAGCCTATAGTGTATGAATTTATTAAAGGAAAAATCCTACCAAACAGCGGAAAGTATCTTTGAAAATATTTATATACTATTTTCTGATCCCTAAAATGACCTATATTATAAAATGTGAATTTATTAAAGATTAGATTTTATATTAATTTAGACATTTCCTATTCACACAAAGGACTTTGGATGCCTTGCATGAATACAGTATGACAAAAGATTATTATCTTTCCAAAGAGAACATTAGTTATATTACATAGAAGGTGCTAGCCATTTAAGGTTAAAAAAAAAAGCGCCAGCCAAAGTACAGATCACTGAAATGATGCACATAAATTAGAAAAACAGAGTACAGCAGCCCAACTCAGTAAATATGGGCATAAAAAAGCGAAGCCTTTCCCTAAAACCAATAAGAAATGTTAAAAGCCTTAGCACCTAAAGATCATAACTTGAGCCAAGTGAAACTGTTATGGGGATGCTGACACAACAAAAGTGTATCCTCAAACAGAGTGTATGACATCCAGAAAAGAGAATCAAAAGGAAAACAGAACTATCCGTCACTGAAGACTACCATCAGCTCATTAGTTTGACAGTGAAATTTATATAAAATCCCCATATAACTTTTGTAAAAATATGCACACACACCCACACGTTTGTGTACAGCAAATATGTAGTTCAATAATTCTCAAAAATGTATTTTGTACTTGAAAATGTACTTTTAAGTATTGCTTCTTACCTGAACCAAGTAAACTGGATTTGACTGTTAGAGCTAAAGTTCAGATATCAGTGACCAAGTGAGCAAAGTTCTACAAGTGACGCACCCTTCCCTATTCCTGCCTGAGTGTGCTACAAAGCCTGAGTGTACTGTACATTACACATTCTTAATTTTTCAACTTTTCTTGCTCATGTGAATTCCTGATTTAAATGACAGAAATATCCCTGATAATTTCCCACATGAAATAGAAAACCCATCATTTTTTGAGGGATGCCAGAGAACTGGGATTTTGATTCCAACTCTGTGGCTAGAAAACTGGTAAAGTTATTTAAACTTTCTAAAGTTTTCTGCAAAATGACTTGTAAGGTCTCTTCTTACTGTAATATCCTACTAAGCTATAATTTGCTTAATATAATTATAATAATTATAATTATTTATCTATAGTTAGACATTTTATATAGCTTAGTTTAATACCATTAGGTATCCAGTAAAACACAAAATTGGAGCACTGATGTTAGTAATTCAGAGGAAACTTGCCAGTTTAAGTTCCTGGAATTTTCAATTATAAGACACATAGAGTTCCATTTAAGAGCAAAAGCAGGGCAGGCACAGTGGCTCACACCTGTAATTCCACCACTTTGGGAGACTGAAGTGGGAGGACTGCTTAAGGCCAGAAGTTCAGGAACAGCCTGGGAAACACTGCAAGACCCCGTCTCTACAAAACAACAGCTGGGCATGGTGGTACTTGTCTGTAGTTCTAGTTACCTGGGAGGCTGAGGCAGGAGGGTTGCTTCAGCCCAGAAGTTTATGGCTGCAGTTAGCTATGATCACATCACCACACTCTAGCACAGGCCATGAAGCAAGCCCATGTCTTAAAAAAGAGACAGCAAAACAAACTTAACTGAGGAATCCATATGGCATTTTGGAGACATTTAATTAAGAATATAAAGCTCAGAATAGAGGGCCAAGATAGCCACCTAGAGGCAACTGGCAAGTGCCTCTCTCACCAAGAAGGTCTAAAAAAGTGACCATCTGGAAGTTCAAGGTAAAGTCATCAGAGACACATTTGGGACCACTGAGAGCACAGGGGCACCAAGACCCAGCCACCTTCAGAATTAGCCTAGCTGAAACCTAGAGAAGACCTCCTATGAAGGGAAAGGATGGTTGAACAGGAGAATTTTCCAATACCTCCCATGGACCTCCGCAGCCCCAATCAAAGGACAGACACTCTCAGCACTCCCCATTGCTGCTCCTCCATTACTGCCATGGCCAAATGCAGGAAGCTGCCTGGAATCTGGACAGAGGCAACATGGGGTCCACGTGGAGCTTGGGGGGCCCTCAGTGAGATCCAGTGCCAGCTACCACCATCCCACCACAGAGGGCCCCCACAGGTCACACTCTACAGCTGTAAAAACTGCACTGCATGGGTGCTCCTCTCTTCTTGTCTCTCCAGAGGGACCCCAACTAGGATGTCACTCCCACCTCAGAGGCATCCCTATCATTGCACCCACACTCTCCCCAAACTCGATTGGGAGCTGCAGATGTACTTGCCCCCTGGCGGCCTCCAGGCTGTGAGAGAGAGAGGAGAGCCCTCCCTCAGCCCCCATTATCACTGCTTTTGCCTCTCCCATGGAGCAGGAAGGGAACTAGGAAGCAGAGCATCTCTGAAATTCCTGACCAGGCAGGACTCTGGCGTCCAGATGAGGAGGGGCTGTCCCACCTCCACTTTGGGGACTCCTAGCTGTGGGACTTCTCCCAGCTATCTGCCAGCATGAGTGCCCTATCCCTGCCTATATACTGGCTAAGACAGGAAGTACTGGGATTCCCTGGCCAGCAGGGACCCTCCTTCCACATCTGAGCAAAAGGAGCCACTCCTTCAGGCAGGCAGAGGCTGCCCTACCCCTACCTGATCACTTTTGCCAGTACCAAGCTACAGGGCCTCCCTGGTCACTGCTAAGCTACTGACATGGCCCTGCCAACGTGTGGGTGTGGAGGGTTGATAACAGAGTTCTCAATCTGCCACGGTCATGGGACTTACGCCAGAATGCAAGAAAAGGCCCCACACAGGGGCAAAGGGGCCCACCTGCCCCTGCTTGACTGAGCTGGAAGAGCAGTGTCATCCAGTCCTCCCCAACTCCATCACCATCTTCACTGCCACCTATATCACAGCCAGTGCCATGGCCCCCATCCCTGTCACCACAGGTCAAAAAGAAAGTAAACAGGCTGCTTCTGCATACCCAAAGGTCCCACACTCAGACACATGCCCCATAGCTCTCTACAAGGAGGGGCCTCCTTGCACTTCACAGCAGGACTACCTTACCAGAACGCCATAGCAGTGCATCAGTGCTCCTATGAGATCACAGCCTCAAGAGGTCTCTGTTCGGCACCCCCTAAACAAAGCTATCACTGCCTGTGCCCCTAAAGCCTATGGGCTGGAGAGAGAACGGAGAATCAGGACACTAAAGTCAATAGACCATACATACCACAGACATAACCATAGGGAAAAAATTAAAAATAAAAAAGTAAGAAAACAA